TTAACGCACGTGAACTTTCGATGCTCGTAAAAAAATCGAAACAATGCACTCGTCGATCTGAAAAAAGGACACCGCGTACACTGCGACTCCTTTCTCCCCTCCATAAACCATCTCGTAAGTATATCTTTCGGCACACGCCACGTATATCCCGTATTCATACTCGGCTTGAAGTCCACGTCGTCCTCGCGCGAACGCATCATAAATACGAGCCTTTCGCGCTCCAAAGCACCATCCAGGACCCCTTGGCTCCCCGCTGCGTCCTCACCACCCCTCCCCCCGATAACTCGCGAAGCTTTAAACGTCCCGCGTCCGTTGGGTATATGCATAGATCTTCCCCTCCGGCTGCCCGGAATCTTATTTATCGCCTCTGGATGCGCGGGTGCGAGTTCGCGCCTCTCCCGCGAGCCCGTGTTTCCTACACTCCGGCCGGAGTTATGTCGCCCATTTTCAAGGGTCGAGGCGCGAGGTCGGCTGTCGAGAGTGTAGTGTACACCATAGAGAGATATCCCTCTCTCTCCGCGAGAGCTTTTTGCTTTCAGCGAACAAAGGAAAAGGAGGTGCGCAGTGGCGTGAATGATGATGAAGTCGTTCAGGCGGAGGGTGAAAAACAAACAGAGCGCTCTCCCGGAAATTCGGTGGATCCCGTGTGGATGGATAATTCACAGGCTGCAGGTGAAACATGTGCCGGAGAGTGCAAATGAATCGTGGGCGGCTTTGCGAAAAAAAAAAAAAAAAAATTAGAGAGCGGATGGAAGGTGTATAGGAGGTAGTTTCATTTCCAGCGCACACAAGTCTTGGGCTCGCTAACGACTTTCCGATCATTAGTTACCGAAACTACCAATACAATTATCCGGCTCGATGAAATTTATTCCCTTAATCTCGCCCGCCCGCTACGCTATGTGCCGCCTCGTCTTGCGGGGGAAATTGCCCGCCGGCGCGACCAATTCGGAAAAAAAAAAAAAAGCCATTCTATAGGTGCCACACCTCGTTGGTGCACTGCTTCCCCTCCCCCCCAAACCTTCCAAACACTAATGGTCCTCGCACCCACGCGGTGTGCAATGAGGCTCGGTTTTTTGCCCACCTCTCGTGTACACCAATCACTCCTCCTCCCCGGGGCCTGGTAGAGAGAGAGGCACAATATAATATGAATCGATTTCTCAGGATGGTAAAATCATACGGACGGAGAAATCCAGCGGTGTCCAACGGTACGGGCAACAAATTGAGGTGGCGAGAAAACTCGACGGCGCCGAGCTCCTTATTATTTTCAATTCAATAAACAATAATATCCGAAGGAAAGCCGCATCCGTAATGGAGACGTGTCTTTGTGGGGTAAAAACACGGCAGCGGGACAAAAAAATCGAGCGACCATCAGCCGGGAGTACAGCTGGAACGCGTATATCACACGGACAATGATTATTTTTCTCGGACCTTATACGCGCCGTCATATCCCACCATTGACAATTAACTTTCGCGTGCGTTGATATGCCATCTAGGAGGAATCAGTTTCTCCGAGACGCTACGTGAGTCTTATCCGCCCAGAGCAGAGTCATGATGCATATATATATATATATATATTCCTGGAGCGTCGCCGTCGCGATGGGAGCTTAATCAAGCCGCTCGCCGAGCGGAATCAGCAAGTCCCTGCGCCTCCACCTTTTCCGGTTGGCATGCTTCCGTGGGGACTCATCGCCCGGCCTGATAAGCTCAACTTTTAATTGAATCCACGAGCTTCTCCGACCCCTCCCCTACCCCTATACTGGAACAAACTTCCCCTTTTTTATATATATCTATTATACCCTTTACAACGTGCGGTGTCTACACTCTATTGTTACATCATCGCCTATAGGTATCGTCCAAGTCACGCGAATCGATAATTCACGTATAAGTTTCGGACATTGTTCGCTCCGAGTAAAAGTTGGCGGCTCTTATTGGCTCGAAAAGAAATGAGTTGGTGCAGGGCTACGGTCAATCACGTAAAATCACCACCGCGATCGTAGGCGGAAGCATAGAGCCAAATGGCCTACGGAGGACCCCCAGCTGGGTATAGCGGATGGTCGGAACCGTAGGTACCGCATCTCTTCGTAATATACCCGTACCCGTGCATGGCGCGCGAAAGCTATACTCTTCCCGAGAGGAGCAGGGTGATGCACGCCCACGAGTGGAGAACCAGAGAGAAAGGGTGTGTATACATTGATCGCGGGGCACGTGGGTTCTCTCTTGCGCTGGCAGCAGGTGCCGCTCGAAGCGGACTGGGTTTGCAATGCGTTACATCGGCTTAATTACACTGTTTATGAGCCTCGATTCGATATCCGCGCCACTACCGTGTAGATTGGCCCTCCCAGTCCCGAGAGTGTACGTACCATCCATCCGGGGTATTACATGTATTACCGCTACGACCTGAGCTTTCGAAGCTGCAACGCCTCTGTGCTGCAATTACGATTCGCGAGTCGAGTTCTGCTGTTCATGGGTGTATACACTTTTCGTACGTAAAATTTCCTTTGAGTTATTGGGAGCCCTGCTAATCATTACTCAATTAACTTCCGTGTACGCGGGCGAGTCGAGCTAAAGGCAACTCAGCGGTGCCTCCAAAGATTGTACTCGTGCTCGATGGTGATGAGAGATTTTTCGAGCAGTCCTCATTCAGTACGACCAAAATTTTATTGAAATAGAATAAGAGCTTCTTCGTCCCATTTTGGATTGATTATTTTCGGTATTTGGAGTTGATTGCCTATTAGTAAAATCACCAAAAGAACCATTGTTTGATCGCATGACAATTGAATTTGAAACAAGAAAGGTAGGAAAAAAGACAAATCCAGCAAGCCGTAAAACAACCATCAAGTCTTTTAATGCTAAGTGCAGCCTCAAAGCTATACCATATACTATACACGAAGGCTGTCCATGAAAGGTACGACAAAAGATCGAAGTAGGTGGGCTGCTTAGTAGGCAGTCAGAATGTCAATCGCCCTTTGACGGCGACGAGGATAAGTGGTGCTACAGCACGGCGAAACGAGGATTTCCGCACAGCGTCCATTTATTATGAATAATGACCCGTTGATGAGACCCGTTTGATGCAACACCCGCACACCACGCGCTTACGCGTGACATTGGCCGACGTCTTTGTTCTAATGCGATTTTACTGCAGAGTGTGGGCAAGGAGCCAACCACGCGGCTGATTCCCCTTTGAGATACGCCGCGGGTTTTCATTGCTTTACAGAATTAGCCGAAACGACGCTGTGCTCCGAGAACAAACATTAACAAATGTATATTTATATTGTTTTTCATAGAACGAAACGTTAAATAATAAATAAAATGTATGTGTAGAAGCTTGATCAAGAATGGCAATTGTTGTTAATTTGATCGATTCGAGTGATTTTATTTAAAAATGAGCCGTGACGTTCGTCACCAATACACGCGATTACAAGACTCTTGCTCTACCATTTGCGATTAAACATCGACGTTGTATCGACAAGCATCAAGTCAATTTTTAGCCGTTTTCAAAGCATAGTGTAACACACCCGCACATTTGTTGTATAAGCTTCAAAGAGCCATTTAATCTACACAGAGCACGTCCGAAGGTACAGATCTCGGAACGGAACCCAATGCCCCAATAGCGTAGACGCAGGAAAAAAAAAAAAAAAAAATAGTGGAGCCCATCAAATTGAAAAGCGCGCACATACGTTATGCGCCACTTTGAGCAATAGAGTTGCAACAGGCCGTTTACGGGCTGCATTAATTTTCCCACACACACGCACGCACGTGTACGTCAAGTAGGTATATACGGACGCCGAGGAAAATCGCCGGGGCCTCCAATAAAAACAAACGGCCTCGGCGATTTACAATTTTGCCGGCAAAAACAGTTTGCTCGTAGCTCGATCGCCTATACACCGCACCACCGCTGCACCGCAAAAAAAAAAAAAAAAGAAAAAAAAAACCACGCACGCACAGACTACCCTTCTGCCCCCCTCGAGATGTACGAAACACAGATTCTCATATCATAACTCCTTCTCTAGAAATAAGCACAGCAGCTCAAGTACCAATAGAGAGAAAAGGCCGTGTGCGCGTGGGGCACGTTGCAGGGACGCGCGGATTGATTTAGATGACGCGAGCGCAATATCTCCCTCGCATTGTCCCCCTTTTAATTGCGCTTGATTGTTATTACGAATACCCTATGTGTATTGGCGAGGTTCTCGTAACGAGCCCGTTTTGTTTTTTTGCCACGCTCGTCCACACGTGTAATGTAATATGATCTGAAACAGCCTCCGAGAGATTTAAGCATTCATCCCATACCGAACCTGCTCCCCCCACCCGCGTGTGCAATGTGTATATATGAACGTGTTGTGCTTGTGGCTCTCTTTCTTGTCAATCAGTGGGGGAATAATTGCGTCCTGGTGTCTCTATCGGGAAAAGTCGGAGGTGGACAGCCGTCCACGGGGCACAGCGTGAGAATTGGAGCTCGCCTCTGGGTTAGAGAAAAACTCACCTTGATTATGCTCCGAGAGCCGCCGGGTGGTAATGGGCGAAATACCCGTAAATGGCCGTCCGAACGCTCTCGCCGATGAAAATATAAAAGCCGGGTCGAACGATCGGTATTGGTATACATTGATTTTATTGAGCCGTCTCGCGATCAATTAGATCGCCTTGGCTATTATTACCAATGTGGGCTGCTGGCGCGCTGGACCATGAGAAATTTATGAAACTCGCTCCCTCTTGCCTTATGTCTTTTTTCAGCGTGATATCTGTGTCCGGCCTCGCTGGGGCTTATTGGGCGGTACACACGGGGCATGGACAACAGGTCTTTCAAATCGCCCTCCACCCCGGGACTTGCTGTCATTTCACTATTGTGATTTACTGTTTTGTGCTTTACATAAGCAGGTACACTGACGACCTTTTTTTCGTCTGTGTAATTTATTTCATCATTGTTGTACCAAAGTTTTTGCTAACCATTCACATAATATGTATAATATAAAAAGTAACAAAATATAGATGTATACGTACCAACGCTACAATACAGGATTACCGAATGACAAGTCCTTGCCTCTTGAGTTATAGGTTGAAGGCGTCTGAAAGAAGAAATACATTACTGATGAGTTACTCTTGTATTCGAGGTGTATTGTTATACATATATGAAATAAATAACAAAATATATGTATGAGAAAAAAAGGCTTAAGGTTTCTTGAAATTTGCGTGAAATTATTAAAAATTAAGATTGAAAGATTTTTTTAGATTTATCCTCGGTTTGTGCCTTATATACAAAGATCGTTTTAACAAGGTTTTAATTTAATTCGTCCAAGTGTGCCCTCACCAATCGCTGACACGGCTAATCATCGGCCGTCTCTGCGCTCACTCGAACGCAATCAACACCTTCGTCCCACCAATAGCGAAACTGCAAGATCCTTAAAACCTCGTCGATTCATCTAATCCTACAACTTGAAAATCCGTTGCAAAACAAGAAATCGCGAGTAATTCCCAAAGCGCGATGCGCAACGATGTGTCGCATTAGCTCAGCCGAGGGGCAAAAGGTGCGCGATGACACGTAAATGCTGCTTTAATGTACAATCGGGGTCATTCCGCTCTGCAGGAGCAGCGCACCTTGGCTACTGCCATTACGTGATGGTATGCGCGCGTGTGTGTTTGTGTATGTACATCTTTTTTCCATCTGCATCGCTCGACGAGCCACCGCAAAAACAACGTCGCCGTACAGCTATACCGCGTGCGTTTATGTGTATACTGGTAATGCCACTATTTAAGCAGGAATGGCTTTGAGTGTATACGAGTAGAGCTAAGAGTGGAGGGATTCTGCAACTGCGCGTCTCTCTCTTATTTTAATTGCGACCTGCATAGCATTGCGCGTGCGAGACTTCTTTTTAAAATGATTATCGTCGCTCTGGCTTCTTGTACGAACGCGAATGGCGCGCTGCATACAGGCTGTGCACACTATGCTTTCTTCATACCCTTCGGAGGCACCAGGCATACGAGGATTCTATTTTTTCCTTTTTTTTATCCTTTCTTGCTTAGTTTATTTTTTTTTCTTGTTTGGTAAGCTATTGCAAAAACATTTTGTTGAAAGATCGCAGCGTCTTTCTATCGTGATTTATCAACTATGGAGTTTTAAGGATATGGTTGCGTGTTTGTTTTTTAGTATTTGATTAGAAGGTGAGGAAAGGAGTGCGAAACTAGAAAAATTTTTTCAACTGGTGGACGTTATCAAATTTATAACAGTTTTTAAATTGCATGGGTTTTAAACATTAACAAATATTAATAAACGCATGACGTATAGTAGATACTGCTATGTTTATTCGGTGTTGTATACTGTTTTTTCACCATTATCCTATAGTTATGTGTTATCTTGGCACCTGTATTGTGTTTATGCCCTGAGGAGGACATCTGCAGGAATGATAATTGAAATTTCATAAAAGTCTTGATCTAGATACCAAATGTCAGTTTATTGATATTTGTTCCATGACAAAGGAGCAAGTGTTTCCAGATGCTTCACACGTGTATAGTAGATTGTATAGCCCTTTTGACGTACAAATCATTGCCAATAACTTTTCTTTCAAGTGGGTACAGCTAACATAATAGCTTAGGCTATGCTGGGGCTGCAGTGTTTAATAATTCAGATAAAAAAAACTATGAAAATCAGTTTTGTGAATAATTGGTATCTCATGCATCAGCTTACAATTTTGGACGTTATAAGACTTTTTAATGCTTTTTAGAGTACAAAATATAAAAATAAATAAATAACTCTTGTTTGTTTGCTCGTTTTCTTAGAGTTCTCAATTTCCAAAGCTCATGTCTAAATTAAAACAATCAAGGATACATATATTTCAGAGCTTTCGTTAATCATATAGTTGGAAAAATGGTCCTGGTATAAATTTAGCAAGCCCGTCTAGGGACGAAACAGTAAATCATCCGCACTTAGGCATCTTTGCTCCACACTTAATTTTTTCTTCATTTTCCTCTCTCGCACACACGTGCATATACGCCCATACTCCCTACCACCCAGTTTTCCCAACCTCTGCGTCCTACCCACTTCTCGCACTGAGCGAAAAGTTCTACTCGGAGATATTACCGTCCGGTTCCTAGTATACATATCGTTCTCTTTTTCCTCGACTCGATTTTTATTTATCTCCGCTACCCGTCCTTTTATCTCACTCTCTCGCTCCTCCAGCCGAAGGAGCTTTTCCCCTCCGCTATTTGTAGGAGCCAACGAAGGAGGAATTAAAAACGGAGATGGAAAATAAATTAAAGCTAGCCAGGCGAAGAAAAGTAGAACCAACTCGGATTAGACGAAAATGAGAGCGCGTCTCTGCAAGAGTCTTTCAGTTTTGGGGGCGCGAGTGTATAGGTGCACGCCTTTCCATCGTTTTTTTCCACTTTTTTTCCCCGAGCTCTGATGAATGTATGTGCTTTTTCCATTTTTCTGCTCCGTGCATCTATGGATTACGGCTTCACCAAGGAATGCAGGAGACGCCGTGTGGGTGAGTCAAGAGCAGAAACAAACAAGATATCATTACTTGAGGGGAAGAGGAGAGAGAGAGAAGGAGTTGCGTTTTCTTACAGACCCCGGGATAACGTAATGAAACGTTGTTTGCCATTCGGATTGTTCCTATCGCGCTCTTCCTCTCCATCTCTATGAAAGAAGAAGCGCGAAAATATTATATCTGCTTGCCTCCTTCGAACATCCCTCCGTCATTTTGTCCAGTTTATTTTCCCGTGGCTGATCGTCTTATAGACGATTTAGCTGGAGCGTGTCAAACTTTGCCAACTTTATGAACCGCTTTTTACGATTATATTACGAGTTCATTTCTCAATAAAAATCGAAGAGCTTACAAAAAAAGACGAAAGTTTCATTGTTACGTTTTTTGTATTCAAAGGATTGCAAACTTCAAGCGATTTGAATTATTTGTATAAATTTGAACCAAAAAAAGAAACAGGATTTATTAAAGTACCACAACCATAGGAGAGGTCAAAATTAACGCCAACATTCAATAATTAAAATCCTCGGTATATGCAGGACTACTACAACATTATATTCAAATGTTAATCATTTTTGACAAAGCCGTTACATTTTTGTAACAAGAATATTTGGACGCTTTGGAAATGCATTCACGCATTCGTTATCATATAATAAATTAGCTGAACCACTGAGTCAACCTCCGATTCAGCCATGACAAAAAAACAGTGTCCTTCCGTCGTCTCCTCTTCCACTCCCTCCACCCACACACGCGTAACGCACATCCAGACCATATAGACCATATACTCCATCCTTCGTAACCCCACTGCATAAAAATTGCCTCGCGTATAGCACAGCGGTATACAGTAGCATACGCTGTGGGCGTCGATGCGGAAGAGCCAGTGATAAAAAAACGTTGGAGCGAGTAAAGGGGTGGGGGGGTGGCCAACGAGACTCGCCCCTGGCCGCGAGTAGCGAATAAAAAAAAAGGACCAAGACATAGCGGCGGCCCACCAGTCGGGGCATCGGGTCGCGTCATCTGCATACCGAATGCGCGGCTCTGTGCGCATAAATCGAGCCCCCGGCAGCTTAAACCCCGAGATATCGACCAATCGCCGCGAGAGCGAGCCAGACCCGTGTGGGGCCGCCTATATGCCGCTCTTTCTCTCCCTATCTTCTTCCTCTTCTTCCTCCTCGTCTTCGACCCCCTACCCGGCCATATTGTAAAATATGGATCGCGGAGGTGTGCTACCACCCTCCTCCCCGAGGATATAGGAGACTCTCCCTCCGCGAGCACTCCCCTCTCTCTCGGGGGGTAGGTGGCTTGATACATCCCTACTCTCGTGCGAGCTCTCGGGAGTAGTCCGTCGGGAGGGGGGGGAGCTTGCGCGCTGCTGCACGGGAATTTTCCAATTTTATGCTCCACGTCACGGCTCACGGAATATACATACGTACACGCCACGGGTCATGGGGAAATGTCGGCGGATCCGAAGAAAATTTTTCTGCCACGCTACGTGTTTTTGCTACGGAGGACTCGCGCACCAAACGAATTTTTCATCCTGACAGATAATATTTTTAACTTTTTTTTTGCCTGTACGTCACTTGACAAACCATTTGTCTCGACGATGCATACAGTTCACCCTCACTTTTTGAGCTTTCAAATATTTAAATTTTTTCATCAGAGTTGATGTTCGGAAAAAGCGTGGACTAGGAGGAGGGAAAAAATAAAGGGGGGGGGGATCGACAACAGAGTGGAGCGCGGAATACGAAAGACTTATAGAAGGAGAGGAATAATAAAAAATCGGAGGGAAAAAAAAGTGCGAGGCGGAAAAAGAGTAGGGAGGGGGTGGGTACGGAGAAACTCCTTTGGACGAAGGGATGAAGTAGAAAGGACGAGGCATTCGCGCCATTTTTCTCGCTCGAGCGAAATTTACGGCGGCTGGCGTCGATCCAGCGTCGTTACTTCGCCCTCGAAATAAACATCCGCCGGCGAGCAGGCGAAAGATAATAATACACGAGCGAGAAGAGGTACAGATACGAAATAAGTATATGTAAACACGTTGTAGGTATATATTAAGGCTCGGAAACAATGAGCGAGATTTTTATCGATTCGAGCGCTGCTTGAACGGGGCACTGCTAAAAGGCTTCCCGTGTACGTATATATAATATACGCTTTGTGTAAAATTTTCATTCCTATCCGGGCACGATAAGCTCGCGATAATGATTTACAATGGAAGATGACTAGTATATTATTGAAACGAAACGAGCCGGCATCGATCGCGTTCTGTTTTCTAATCGCCTTTTTGTCGGGTCATCCAAACACTGATAAACGAAGATCGTGATCGTACATTGTAAAAAGCTCCGAAAAAATTGTTATTTTCCCTGCAAAATCCTCGAGATAACTTGCATGATAGGCTCCTCCCGCGACTCCGACTAGGATAAACCCGAGATTTCCGCAAGAGATACTTTTCGTAAATACCAACGGTTCATAAAAAAAGAAATCCTCCCATTTCTGCAAGCGCGCGCGTGTTCCGAAAAACTGTCCCCTTTTCTCTCCAGTGGAGAAAGAGTGAAAGATAAAAAAAAAAAAATCCTTGCGAATAGATTGCAAAAGAGCACTTGTAAATGCAGGGACGCACGTGCTGTTAACTACGCAGATAATGCCCAGGGAGAACCCCGCGAGCTGTGCGGAACAGCTGATATACAAGAGGAGTCCCGCGCAGGCTGCGACATCAGGCGACTGCTCCACCGTGTTTTTGCCGACGATCGTCGTCCCCACGACTGCCTTGCCGTGTGCGTGTATAATGCGCGCGAACGCATCGCGGGCTTGTGTTGTTCACGATGCCGGCGAGATCAAAGTCGGTGGCCTTCTCGCTCTCCTCCTCCCTCTCTTTCGTCTGATCTGCGAGCAACGCTAAAATGCCATCAGCCCGCTTGTCTTTGGCTAGTATATAGTGTAGCGCCTAGGGACCTTAAAAAAAAAAAGTATACCGAGACTCTTTTGGAAAACGCACAGAGGCTTTTGAGGAATAGGCAATGGCACGTATTAGCTGAGCTTGTCATTCTTCGGCGATGTGGGACTTGTTTTTCAATTATTTTGATACCGACATGCATGTATAGCTCACCTTGGCTTTGCCAGTCTTTATTTATTTACATCATAGTTGATAAAATGGATAATCGTTGTTTGTTTCTACAGTACTAATAATAAAGGCACTGGAGCCCAAAAAAGTGTTTTACTAGCAAGCGGGTACAGGTAAGGCATACATTCTGGAACAGGATAGTTTTTGGTTTTAGAAATTAGGTTTTTTACGATATTATTCATTTCATGGCACATTTTTTTCAACATACAGCAGAAATATGTAAATTCTTTTTATTTCCTTTATATCTTGTCGAACTATTTTCGAAAAAATCAAACTTTTACTGTGCGAGCGACCCTGGGCAAGATTTTCAATAATAGGGCAGTAAAATAAAATCCTGACAAAGAATCATACGTTTATCTGTAAGTATGCTGAGCTTTATACAAATTTCTGAGCTGATAAAACGAATAACAAAAATTATTATTTTTCCTAAAACTTGTATAATTATTACTTGTCCAAATAACTCTCAATGCGGTGCTAAAATGCTTTACCAATGATGAGCCAACACTGAAAAAAAAAAAAAAAAAATTTTAGTGCAATTTTCAAAATATACTAAAGTAAGGTCCAGCAAACACACAGAGTTTTCATTTAGTTTATGCATTTGTTGTTATTATTATTTTTGAAACTTACTTTGTTTCGTGTTAAATAATCCTTGATAAAGCTATATTGAAGCCAGGAACAGAAATTTCGAATCCTTTCTTATACAATGGATTTAAAATTTTTTAGAGTTTTTCTTCATCATTTTCATTAAAAATTGGAAATAGTCGATAAATTTTCAAAAGTCGTCAAAAAAAAGAAAGGGAAAGAAAATAAAACCCAAATCCAACACGGAAGGCAAAGCGTAGCACCAAGCACCCGCGCACTCGATCCGTCGGCGTCGCAGGGCATCAGAATTCAAAGGAAAAGTTGATGGAAACCCCCAGCACGCAGCTCGAAGGAAAAAGGCGCCCCCGTTTGCAAGAAGAATGAAAAAGTTGGGAACAAAAAAAAAAAAAAAAAAAAAAAGAGGAGGAAAGAAAATCAGAGGGGCAGAAGAGAAAAGGTCGAGCAGTAGGGGGTGTGGATCTTATCAGGTGCGGAAAAACTCGTTTCGCGTAAGCGTAACTCAAGCTGGGCCGACGCGACGGCTTCTCTCTTTACGAGAATATGGGAGTGTATATATATATGTATATGTATAGTTACGCATGTATATATTCCCATCCTGGTAACACCAACCCCTTGGCGTAACTACACAAGAGTGCAAAAGGTCGGAAGGCTGCTGTCGATGGTGTGTTTCTCTCTATCTCTCTTTTTTTCTCCCTGCAACGCAGCTTATAGGCGCGCAATTTTTACACCTGTGCGCGTAAACCGCTGTTATGCTTCCAGTAATTACGTATTATCGCTGCCGCGCCTGAGCGTGTGTGGGCCTACGTATAGGGCTGCGTGCGAGCTCGATGTTAGCGAGCGTGTGCTCTTATATGGGCTTTTTATGAGCAGTTTGCCGTTCGACACGTGTGCGTGTATTTTTATATTGGGTAGTAAGGGAGAGAGAGATGAGGAGGAGAGAAAAAAGAAATTTCGTGCATTACAGGCGATGCCTGCACGGGAGTAAGATATATATGCATGAACATTGAAGGAGCCTTTATTGCCTCACCCGAGAGGAGACGACCCCGGGGAGATAATACGCTTTGGGCTGTAAATCGATTGATCGTACACGTGTAATCGATTTTCCTCTCCTACTGTATAATTGTTGGGAGATATTGATGAGTTCTTCCATTGATAACTGCATCCTCCTCCCTCCCCCTTTTTTGTTCTCCCGCGTACGGACTTGTACGTGAATACAGGATTGTTAAAATATCAAAGGCCACGTCTATAATGTCAAACGTTTTGATAGTCCAAGGAAATAATAAAAAAAAGAAGCCATCGATAATGGTTGTTAGTAGGCGATGGTGCGCTTCGCAAAGGGGATGACAACGACGACTATCATAGAACAGAATCGGATCGAGTTGGATGCATTTTTCAAGCAGTTTCGGTGTTATAATTTACATCTGCTCACGCCTACTGCTATACTACTAGCTAGATATAACACATGCATGAGGGATAACGCGTGTATAGGTTCCTTTTTTGCTTTCTTCAGTTGATATACTGCATACACTGAGAACACGCAGTTTCACTACCCTCTTTTTTGCCCTCTATCCCTTTCTCGTATATTCTAAGAGCGTTTGATTTATGCGATTGAGATAGTATGTGCCCTGTGCTCGGAACTGAAGCTCACGCACGTTTCTCAACTGTCTTTACTATATTATTTTATTGTTTTCTCACAAATTTAAAAACAAAGAAAAGGGTGATTCCCAAAAAAATGTGTACATATGCTTGATATTACAACTGCACGTACGGTGTGAAGCACAGCTCGAAAGATGATTTTCCGAGAATCGGGATAAACAATATTTTCCGGAACATCGGTCGGGTGCGTTCCCACGCTTATCGCGACTCGCGTATATACGTCAGTCGCCATGTCCAAGCGCGTGTTGCACATATAAGCACAAGGAGCGAGCCATCTCGTCAGCTGGAAGGATCGTCCCGCCGCGTCATTCCCTCGCACAAACCGCTCGCGCAGCATCCACATGTGCACCGAGTGCTGTACAGGCTTTTGTATATACGAAAGGGAGCAGAGACAAAAAGAAAGACGGACAGAGCGAGAGTGAGCAAAAGAGTGCCGCAGTATATATATATGTGGTATATAGCAGTCGAGAGGGAACAAATATGGGCGGAGCGTCGTCGTCCAAGAGGACTTTGCATAGCCGATGAGGCCGACTATACGTATAGGCCACGGAGGCGTGCATGTACTTTGCATACGTCCGGGGCCGCTCCAGCCTCCCCATTGGTCCAGACCTCCACTCCCACCTTGCCGCTGCGCTCTCTCTCTTTCCCTGTCTTCACTCTTTCGTCTTGCCTCTACTCGGCTTTCTTGAAAGTTGATGGGTGTACGTGTATTGCGCTATACTCGGTCTTGTTCTACTGCCGCCGGCTGATGCTTTTCCCCCTTCTTCTACTGCGTGCAGTACTGTAACTACTGCGTTGCTAGTACATGATGGTCACGAGAGGAAGAAGCTTGGCGACTCGAGGGAAGGGTTTTTTTTCTATTTGTATATGTCTCGTTCGGAGATAAGGGAGGGGGGGGGGGTCGCTAGAGAAAAACGAGCTATTTTTTATTACAAAGTTATACAAAGGGAACAATCTAAATATATCACAAATCTATCGCCTATGGTGATATGGTGTTCCAATAATGTGTTATAACAGAAGCTTCCAGCAATTAATGAATAATATTAAATTATTCTTACTAATAATATCTAATATTTAATTTTATTCATTGATTGCTCTGTAAATTTAATATTAGGTTTTGTCAGTGAAAATAATACAACCAAGCAATCATCTTGCGAGTGACATATTTTTCAAATAATAATTTAGTGAATGTTTCACTGTAGATGGTTGAGTGATATAAGTTGAAATTTCGTATTTGATTGGATGGTTGATAGAGTCAACGCGTTTTACCAAAAAATCTAATCAACTGTTACCTTTGACCTAAACAAGATATTTATACCCTGACAGAACATAAACGAAGGCTTGTTTTGGACGCTTATTTCTGATTATTGAGGACATAGTCGATCATTGTTCTAAACTTTTAAAGCAAAGTCATGCAGCCACGCTTTTTGTATACTGTTTTTCCAGAATAAAATTAAAGGATAGCTCCAAGTACATTTCTTATTAAAAACAAAATAAATAATCCTTGCGGTCTGTCACACAAAACCGTTCAACTCCTGTTTTGTTAACTCTATCACGTAATAAATTTTCAAAGACCAAAATGTATTAAGCCAGGATAAAAATTGTTACAACCTCCAGACCACTGTTATGTAAGTACAAAATAACAGCGCACCCAAGATTTTAGAAGAGTGGGCGGGCACTCTTGCGTGGACCTAGAACGACACCTCCTTGGAGACTCCGCGGATGGAATAACCTATCAGCGCCTATGTCCGACTGCGGATACGCATGTGTGAGTTTTTCCTCTTTCTCCTTTTCTATCTCGTGCCATTGCATCCTTCCCACGGTGCACTCGGCGGACGAGCGATAGTCACAGAGGCACTCGTAAGAGGCTGGCATCGGTCGTTTAAGCGGCGAATCGAGAGTCAAAGGGACGCGGATATAAATACACATACGCGCATACAAGTGAGCACGGGGAGAGAGACATGGAGAACACGACGGGAAAATATCAAACGAGAGATGAGCGCGTAACTTGTGTACGTTTTATACACTCCGTGCGGGGAGGGAGGGCTGCCTTTGCGTTACCATTCACATGACAATCATTTTTGTCCTTCGCTCATCCACTGCTGTACTGTCACCGTACAGTACCGACAGACACACACGAGCGTGATTGTACGCTGATTCAAGGATTCGCATGAATTATAGATAGAGCCATTACAATGAAGCATCGGCCGCCGAGGTGACGTTGTTAAGGAGGTCGGCTGGTTCATTCGCCATTGCTCATACGCTCTTATTTGGGACGGCTTCTCTTTGTTCTCCGGATCTTCTTTTTCTTAATTCATTTATTTTTATTTGGCCACTCAACCATTCCATGGGAAAAAGCGTCAACTGTACTCTCGTAATCATTAGCCTGTAATTTATTTCTCAGATATTATGGTGTTATGCGATCGCTGCGCTTTTAATAGGGTCTAGAAAACACTGCGACAACCTACTGTTGAGCAATTTTAGTAAATCTTCGTTGATTAAATTATACAACGATGAGTCGTTACAAAAATCGTAATCGTAAATAATACTATGGATGTAACTCTCCTTGAGCATCATTCGTTAAATATAGAAAAAAATAAAGCATACATCTGGTCCAATTATGTGATGAGTATACGTTTGACGATCCGTTAAGTAGGGTAGTGCCATTTTTATACCAGAGAGCATCACGATGCACATTATGATGCACATAACATTATGATGTTTCAGTTGATTGGTAAAACGTAATCCGTAAAAAAAAAAGAAATAAATAAATAATTCTTCTTCAGAAACATCGCGTGTACACAAAAGGTCCATATTGAGCCTACCGAACATCCTTGAATCGTCCAACACTCATACCGATTTTCCGCGGATAAAAATTACAATTCATTAGCAACTCGAGCATCGACAATATTTACGAAAGATCATTCCCTGTACCTGCAGCTCGACGCATTTGGCCTTTGAACGAATGCAACGATGAATAAATGCACGTGCGTGCGTTGTACATAGTGCTCGTCGAGCCGACGATACCGATCCCCATGTGCCGCCACTGCTCGGTAATTACCTATACGGCTCGATTTCTATTGCAGAATCGTCGGTCTCTACAAACTCGTTCCTCCACCAGCCATCCAGAGTTTATGCGTGGAAAACACCTTGCTCCGATTTTTTTCCATCCAACCGCAGGTTGTCGCATTCGTCCACTTGTGCGAGTGTACACAGTAGTAGTAGTAGTAGTGGTAGTGTATACCTTAATTACTTACTCAGGCTGGCTGGCCGTGAAAAAAAATTGACATGAATTTTACATACTTCTCTTTTGCTTTTCTTATTCCCTCATTTTGATTCTTGACATGACAATGTAGAAATATTAAGAGCTACATTACAAAGAGTATGTGGACTAGCTTATGCGATGCTCCCTGGAAAAGATAATCCATTGCTAGGATTCAAACCTTATTAATGTGATAAGACATTCATGTTCGAGCAATTTTCATTTCAAAGTTTTAAAAATAAAAATTTATGTACGTAAATAAAACTATAATTTTAAGGATATTTTTGTTCCATAAAGTAAAAAGAAGATTTTAATTTAGTTTTTCTTGTTTTTGTTTATTTATTAGTGCAGCAACTTTTTTAAAACAAATTTACCTTTCATGCAGGTAAAGTAAAGTACAAGTTTCCGTAGTGATAATAAATATACAACTAAAATATTGATGAATAAACTAGTTTGTATTCATTCATTAAATTTTCTGGATTTCGCTGCATTGAATGTATTTTTCATAATCATGGCCACAGTCATTGGCCCAACACCTCCAGGTACCGGGGTTATGTAGCCAGCAACCTCTCTAACCGATTCGTAATCTACGTCACCGACAAATTTAAACTTTTCGTGGTCAACTTTGACCCTGGTGATGCCAACGTCGATGACACATGCTCCCGGCTTGATCATGTCTTTGGTCACCAATCCAGGAACACCTGCTGATGACACAACAATATCTGCATTCTTGGTGTATCTCTTGAGCTCAGCTGGTTGAGTGTATCTGTGACAAATGGTCGTCGTCAAATCAAGCCCAGGAAAATCATCTGAAAACAAATACATATTTTTCAATTATGGTATTCATCAGGTTATTTCGTATTAATAAACGTTTCCACGAACTATTTTCATCTGAGTGCAATAGCAAGGCAATCGGTAAACCAATATGCTTTGATCTTCCAATGACCACAGCATTTTTACAAAAAGTTGGGATTTGAGACCTCACGATTAACTCTTTCACTCCCAGAGCAGTTGCAGGTATCATTCCCTTGCTATTCAGAGCTAGTCTCCCAATGTTGTATGGATGAAAGCCATCAACGTCCTTGGAAGGTACGACAGCACGACAAACTTCTCTTTCGCTGATGTGCTTGGAAACAGGAAATTGGACTAGTATGCCGTCCACGTCAGGATCATCGTTCAGTTTTTGGATGTTTTTCAACAAATCCACTTGGGATATATCTGCTTCGAAATGCAAAATTTCAATGTCGATACCAACCCTCTTGCCAGTCTTAATCATTCTTTCAATGTAAATTTTGCTGGAAGGATTTTCCCCAACTAAAATAGAAATCAACTTGGGTTTTTTTCCTCCAGCGTCGACCCATTCATCTACTTCAACTTTTATTTCTTGCAACACTTTGTCTGCAATGCTTTTTCCGTCTATGTCACTAGCTCCACATCTACAATAATAAACAGCTGTAAGTATTTTAGCCAATTCGCATTTTTTTTTTTTTATATATGATTATTTTTGTAGAGTTGATAATTACAGTGACTTGTAAGAGTACAATCTTCTCGACCAATAACCAAAGAAAGGTCTGAAAAATCTGAAAATCGACATAATTGATCCGGAAAACGAAACTGTGTTGATTATAACGTAGTACTTTTAACTAAAATATTTTAATCGCTGTGGGTATAAAAATAACTATTCCGTCAATAATATTGCACTTGAATGGAAACTCAACACTTGTTGATGATGGTGTACACGATGAAAACTGTGCGTTGTAATCTTCTAGATTCCACCCACATTATATCTTCACGAATGTTTCTCGACACTTTGTTAAGATCCTACTGACTTGGGTGTGTTCTGAAGTTTACGCGTCCAACCTTCCACGCAGGCGCAAAAGTAGAAAAATTTATTATTCAGCGATAAAATAGCTGATTGTAATATCACTCTTTCAATGTTTTCAAATACGGAATAAGATTATTACTTTAAGCTACTTAATCACTACGTATAGTATGTGCGATAAGTCAATACCGAGCCGAGTTGGAAAGTTTTACAGTCTTTTACAACAAAGACGTATTTTCCAAGTTTTACAAATAGTTTTAATAAGTCTCTGACTCTATTCATTTGTCCACAAAAACTTAATATTTTAATTTGTTTTAGAAAATATTTTTCTTCATCAGAAGTGCAGTGCTTGACAAAATCAACAATGAAATTTCAATTAATACAACTTGACAAGGTATTTTCAAAAATTCAGAGTTTTTTCCTCCAGCACTGCAAAAAAAATTGGATTGCAGTCAGTAAGTTTTGTATGCACAATTAAATGTATGGATATTTAAAATAAAAAAATAAATAGGACCATAACTCCATACGCAAAGAAACAGGGGAACCCTTGGAATCTCCTCCATGGAAAAAAAAAGTAGATCGAGAGGAAGAAAGTAGAAGAAAGAGATGGGGTGAATGGGAGGACCGGAGGCTAGGAGAAGAGAAAAAAAGGAGGTCCAGCTCCCGGATGCCCTTAGCTTGCAATTAGGGAGGTCCTCCGGAGTAAGAGAGGAGACACCCCAGCAAACCATACTCGCTTACCCGTGGAGGCCAATGCGGGTGTCACGCGGAGACATTAAATTATTTATAATTGTTTTGTCCTGGATGCATTCGGTCGTTCGTATATATGGCTTCAAGCTACCTGGGATTTCTGCTTTTATTTTCATCTCTTGTTTTTGAAAGTCTGACAATGATCGATGGCCGGGGTAATGCTGGTGGGCGCTTACGCTCGCTACCGGTGATTAAGTCGACTGTATTTTGAAAATTGAACGTCTGGTATAGTCGTACTCGATTTTTTTTGAGTTGTGCCGACGCGTGATTATTCAACGGTTTGGCCGATACGCGGGTTTGGTTCCTTTGATGGTCAATCACTTTATATTTCCATCTTCAATGTTTTACAGCTATTATTTCCCAAGGCGTACAAGCTCAATGGTTACTCAATGCCGTACCGTTTGACTAGCTTATTTACCAACGTACTCTCTAAATAAAAAAAAAAAAAAAAAAAAAACTACTTTTTAACCTACACTTAGTATTACTATTTCCATCTTTTCAATAGAGATGCCGTCTCCACTCTGTCGGCGTAAAATCTTTTCTTCACAGCGACCTGAAAAAGCTTTTTCTCGCGTATGAGAGATCCCGGCAGCATTCGTGACAATGAATTTTTTCCGCACCCCCCTCGGCCCAGATCGATACTTTAGAGCAATGCCACGTGTGTTACGTGGCATGAAAAAAAAAAAAAAAAAAAAAAAAGAAGAGAGAGAGGACCAGCGAGAGCGATAGGAGGGCGTGCAATAATTCAGCGCGTCCTCTGGCGAAAGTGTCAAAGCGAAGCCCGGGCGCACCAACTAAAATTCCGGGGGCGCGCGCCTCCGCACATATCGATGAGCGTGTATAGCGCGAGAGAGTAGCTGCAAGGAGCAAAGGGGATCATTCTCGCTCCGTCGGAAGGGACCTGCGCGCTTTTCTTTTTCGCGCCAATACGCCGCACCGATGACGTATGGACACCTTCTCATTTTTATTCCGCGGTGGATCTTGCGCCGTGAACGTCTCTTTTTGGAGGTACAACGTATGGCAGATTAAGCCGCGAAGATTTTTGACGCGCCAGTAACGGGTTCTCGGGTGTGTTGGTCTGAACACGACCCCGGCGTTGTATGCTTCGATGTCTCTGTATCGCATATGGGCACACACGAGCGAGGCCCAAGATGTAAATGACATCAGGATTGATATATAATATTTTCGAGGAGCTTTTACCAGTTTGAGCTATTTTTTTCCCCCAGCAGGTAAGGCACTAAATTATCGAGTAATCATCGAGTTTGTTACAGACAAGTGCAGCCTCGCCCCGGGTACTAGCAAATAAAACTGTATGCTTTTAAAAGTTTTGCGGTGGGCAGGTATGTAAATAAGTGCAGCCGACGGACAGAAATTGAATCGTAAAGCAGTCGAGCACGACAAAAACGATTGTACACTTACGTCTATTTACAGTTAAGACGAAAGAAACAAATTCAATGTAGGGAGTGTGTGCACTTTGTACTGTACCCTAGGCTTCGTGGTATTAATTATTTATCATTTTTTCCCCCTTCCTATACCCTTTCATTCCGATTAAAATTCATTTCGGCGATTTAAATGCAAAAATTTTCCAGACCCCATACCACGTTGGTTCAAAGAAATTCAAAAGCACGTGAAAGGCCTTAGGTATGGCGCGCAGCAGCGGCTCGATCTCGCAGCAATCAAATTGCAAAATTATGCGAATAAGACCCCGGTATATACCGGGTGCGCGCGCCACCAGTGCTTCTGGACCAATGAAAATGCGCGCTGGACGTCAATCAATAGGCTCTCTCTCGCGTATATAAAACTAATCCGCGGAGGAAGGGAGCGGCGATGAAAAAAACGATCGGAGAGACAAGGATGTCGTCGACCCGTTTAATCCCACGTGTCCCATGCTCTGTGCAGGTACTCAACGATTGAAAAAAAAAAAAGGAGA